CCACAACTTTGCAGTTTCTCTCAAATCACCGATTGGGGAAAAACCACCAAGAGGATCAAGTTCAGTCTAGAATGAGTTTTCTTTCATCTTTACACTGTCCAGGAAAAACCTGCATCTGCAACTGACACAGGAATTTCCTACCTACAGTTTTAATCAAGTTAGTCCTCAATGAAGGCACCACTCTTGCCAGTTCGCTGGTACACACACACTCCTGTCATACTGCAGTCCTTTCAGACAGATTCCTTGAGCCTTTAGGAGTCACTATAATGACTGACATTTTTTACATGTAAGACAACTAAGAGTCTGAGAAGATGCATTTTAAACTGGAACACTTCCTTTCCCTGTCACTACGCAATGCTTTTCCTTCTGACCATTTCAGCAAGCACATTAGAAAGCTCCCTGCTTTGTGGCATCTGTCTAGCGTTCCCATTAGGAGCAGGGAAGAGGACAAAGCCAGCCACCCTTGTGCAAGGGGAAAAGTGGAAGATTCTCACTGCTTTCCTCTCTAGTTAGTTCCTGATTTTAAGTAGGCTAGGTTCGGATTTGGGGGCTTCTCTCCCCTCTCCCCTCCTCCCCCTTTTTTTGACAAAGCAGGAAAAAAAGCAAGAACAGCGGCACTGGCAAGGTACTTCCTCTTCACTTGCATCCTCAGTTAGTCCTTCTGCAGTTCTCATGGGACCTAACCTATAAAATATCTACCAATCTACACTGCAAAAAAACCAAGAGTCTAGTGAAATAGCGTCTCTAGAATCTCAAATCAGACCTGTGTAACACTGAGAACAAAGTTGTTCCTGGCTTTGTGCAGCAAGCCTTATCACCTGTTGTTTCTCCTGTTGGACCCTGCATGCTGTTAGAGGACCTCTCTCCCCATAGATCCACCTCCTCCCAACAGTGAGATCATGGGACTAAAAGTAGCTCTAGGTAGCTAGAATGATGATGGAGCTGCAGAACTGGTTTGCTACCAGGGTGAGGAATGCAGTTTCCTTCCGTCTTTGTCTGCCTGTTCTTTTCAAATGAGTAGTGTTGAAACCAATTATATTGTGTAAAGGGGTTTTGCGTGGTAGAACAGCAAACCTCAGCGTGATTACATGAAAACACACTGAGGCTATTACTAAGGCTAATAGTCCAGTGAGCTGGAGTTCACGCACTCCAGCTAAGCATGCTCACACCAGAATAGTAATGCCCAGGAATGTCTGCAGGAACTCAAAGGCACAAACAGGAACACTCAGGTGTTTTCAGTCCGCTCTCAAGGACTGTAGAGAAATCCAATAGGCCTACTGTCCCTTAGGTCCTTTACCACAACCTAATGGGACATAACCCATACTGGTGCACTAATATAACTGAAAGAAACTTTTCTGTTGGAAACAATTGAATTTATTTTCCGGAGCCAAGTTTGAAAGGTGGCAAATGCAGCTGGAGTGCAACTTCTACAAGTATGAGAGCCTACAGTATCCCATTTAGCCTGTTTTAAGCTGTGCTGCAAGGGAAGGAGGAGGAGAGGTTACCACAAGGTTTAAGAAATGTCCATTTCTCCGTTTCCTCAGTTGGACTCACAGCAGGTAACTCAGAAAGACATCTAAATGACAAGAGCCTCACTGGAAGTTAAATCCAGTGACTATCGGTGCAAAATGTAACAAAAGCTCATCATTTTGGGGAGTATCTGAAGTCCACGAAGAACACTCTCCATTTCAAAAGAGATGCAAGATTCTTAAGACATCTCCTATACCTGTCCTGAAATAAGAGAGAAATTGGGTGGACCACAGCATCTACACATAGCTATACCATTCCTAGGATGATAAGGAGCTGGAGAAAGAAATCTTGTAGGGCAAAATGCCAATGTCTTGCAGGCCACAGCTACTAAAACATACCCACTATTTAACACTGCTGCATCCTATGCCCTCAGATTATTAGTTCTTTCCTTTAATCTCACCAAATAAACCTTCTCAGTTTAACTGTCGGTATCCTCCAGTGAAGATATTCCCATAAACACATTTACTCTCATTAAAATAGATTATTTTTTTCCCCCCATGTCCCTTTATATACCATAAAGAAAGCAACTCACCCTATCTTCCTTTCCCATCCACTGTAGTTAAGAAACAAACATCTTAGAAGCAGAAATACGCTAAGCTAAATAGAATTTTTTTTTTTAATTAAAAGTTAATCCATTGAAGCAGAAGAGTATTGTACATAAGGCTTTATCTTCTCACTGTTATCTCTGTTAATAGTGACATTGCTTCAAGTCTATAAAATCTGGCATCCCACAAGGGTCACTCAACAACCCCTTTATTTGGGGGTGGAGTGGAGATGGAGTGACAGGTCCTGCATTTCCTCACTCACTCCAGATACTGTTTATTCTGCACGAAGGCATACCAACCACAGGACAGACCATCTTAAATTTCTTATTGAAGGATGTTTATATTCTGTAAACAAACCTCCATTTAGCACCATAGAGCACTAAAAAAGAAGCTATAGTGAGGAAGCATCTCTTGGCAAGACTGTAACAGCCAGTTCTCCACAACAGGAGGCCTCATGTCTGCTAGCCTTTCACACCGCCTTTTGGAACATGTGCATAAGAGTTTATATATTTTGTTATTCCATTTGAAGCCAGAAATCTGGTTCTAAAGACTATTTCATACCTATTATGTGATTCCCTCCTCGCCATTTCCATCAATCCATTCATTAGAGGGAAGAAAAGTAAGAGACTGCCACTGAAAATAAGAACAATATCTAGGAACAGGAAGAGCCCTACATCAAATCCTGTTACTGATGCAAAAATCTTTGCAAGTCCATTAGGAGTTCTTCCAGAAAGCAGACAGCAGCTTGCTTTTATGTGTCTGGATTTAAAGTTAAAACTTACTATAATCACACAGTCCTGGTGTAACGTAGGAAGCCAGGGGAGTGCCACGTTCCAGGCACTCCCATGCAGACACTCCACTGGAGTCGATCTTGTGGGAGACTGCTTAATACAGGGGAATAGCAGGTAACACTTGGTCACTTAGGTCCAAGTGCATTTAGTAAGTCCAGAAAGGAGTTAAACCTTCAAGATATTGCTTTCACTAATGCACTGTGGAATACATTGCTACTTTCCCAGAAACGAAGTATTACAGCTGAAACAAACCACTAAGGAGGAAGGAAATTAAGTACAGACTGCTACACTACCATCACTGTAGGCAATCTCACATGTACTTCTGGGACTAAAAACACTGATTTTAAACACTACTGTGCCATTTCTAGCTTTTGGAAAAAAAAGTAAACGTGCCAGGAACACTCTGCTCCCAATCGGCTTTAGAGAAGTGGGGGAAGCTTAGGACTTACTGTAAAAAGATACAAGACAGGCAGCATAATGGGTAGTCATGAACTGCTATGTCAGCCCAACAAGCTATTTGCAGTGACAGATGTAACACCTCAGTTTAAAGGTCAGATGAGCAAACAATACACAACTCGCTCTGTACCCTTCTGAAGTAGGTTAATGAAACATAGCCTGGAAGGGGAATACTGCGTACCACACGCAGGAAAGCCTCCTTAAACAAGATGCAAGCACGCTCAACTGGAGCGCAGAATAAAGTTCAGGCTCCTCTAAGAGGCAGTGGCAAACATATCTTTACTATAACATCCAAGCCTTGTCTCTCAAGCTGGATAGTCCGAAGCTAAGGAAGGTGAAACGTAAATCCTCAAAGAAAGAAAGAAAACAAGTCTTATAAAGATAAGAGGGGAGAGAAGCTAGAGCTGACAGAAGAACAGGGCACAAGCCAGGAAGCGGAAGGAAAGAGAAAGCAAAACTGACAACACCCAGCTAAGAAACAAACAACCTGACAAGAAGTTCAGCCTCGCTACGAACTCAACTCAGGCGGCTGATGCTCCCTCCAGGAGCCCCGTGCTGCCAGCTCCCG